GATGATGACTGTGATGATGCCGCAGATGATGATGCTGATGATGATGACGATGCTGCTGATGATGACGATGATGGTAATGATGAGTATGCTGATGATGATGCTGCTGATGATGCTGATGCTGATGCTGATGCTGATGCTAATGCTGATGCTGCTGATGATGGTGGTGGTGGTGGTGATGATGATGATGCTGATGATGGCGATGATGATGATGAGATGATGATGATGATGATGATGATGATGATGATGATGATGATGATGATGATGATGATGATGATGCTGATGATGATGATGATGATGATGATGATGATGATGATGATGATGATGATGATGATGATGATGATGACGACGATGATGATGATGATGATGATGATGATGATGATGATGATGATGATGATGATGATGATGATGATGATGATGATGACGATCATGACGTTGAGGAGCAGGAGGAGGAAGAGGAGGGGGGGATGAGGACGAAAAGGAGGAAGAGCGCGAGAAGCGGAATGCTGAATGAGGCTCGCCCTCGGAGCTGGGGCGACGCGGGGTCCCGCTCTTCCAGCGGCCTTGGAGGACAGCAAGAAGCTGGAGGAGGGCTGGTACACTGTGGTTCAATATCCTCTCGGAGCGCGTTTCTGTTTGATGTTGCTGCAGAGGGCCCAGTCTCGCTGCTGTCGCGCCGCTGCTCCTCCTGCCCCTTCGCCCACTTCTCCTCCCCACCTTTCTCATTTCCCCCGTCTGCTCCTTCTCCCTCCTCCTCCTCCTCCTCCTTTCCCTCGTTCTTCTCCTCTGTGAGCTTGCGATGCTCGTGGACAGTGGCGTGGCGGTGAATGTTGACCACGGCACTTTCGAGAGTAACGTCTGGGTGTGCGCTGCTGGTGCAGTGTCTGCGGTGACGAAAGCACTTCCTCATTCCCTTGTCGTCTGGCATGTCTGATGGGGCAGAGAGCCTTCTCTGATAGGCTGCATATTTGTCCCCCTGGGAACCCACCTCCTCTTGTAATGCATATTTCTATGGTTGGTGAGCCATGGCTGTCGAGTTTCACCATGGTGGGCGATGACAAACAGCGGCAGACAACAGGGGGGGAGTAGCTGCAATGATCTCCTAGACTTGTTCATCATTCACATGGTAAGTGTCGTGTTTCCTTCGTGGGACACGCGTATCTCTGGTCAGGGGCAAATCAGACCAGTGTGCGCTCGTGTTTGGCCCCTCGGGTCTTTATTGTTTGGCCACTCGGAGCGCTCTTCCCTTCCGAGAGGCCGTGGGTGGTTAGCGCAGGCGGGCGGCGGCCGCCAGGGAGGGGCTGCCGGGCGAGGGGTCATGGGAGGCAAGAGGGGGGGCGCCTGGGAGTGGGCACGATGAAGCCAAAGAGCTCTCAAGCTGTGGATGCGCAACTTTTCAATACCTGTCTTCAGTTCATGTCAAAGAGTGGCTTCCACATTCGAGCCTCAGCGGCTACGGAAGCGCAACACATGCATGCATGTACACGTGCACTCTTGCAGCAAGTCACGCGGGGATGTCTCGTCATGGGGGTGCCTGGGAGTGGGCAGAGGGGGGCACGACACGTGTAGGATGCAGTGCGTGCCTGAGACCAGGCTTGGCCAGGCTACGCCTTGCTAGCCACAGCCAGGCCTAGGTGAGAGTCAGCACCCCCTCTCGTCTGCGGCGCCTGCGGCGCCGCAGGCGCCTGTTTTTGTCTTGTGGGGGCTGGGTGCCTCTCGGTTTTCCGTTCTCCATCGGTTTGGATTTTCCGTCGGTTTTAGAATGATCAATCCTCAATCCACATCCGACGCCTCGGTTGCTGAGGCAAGCTTCGCCTGACGACGCGGGCATGGCTGAGTTTTTTTTTTGCTGTTCTCCTGTTCTGCGTGAATAAAGGGGGGAGGGTATGCTTGCAGGGTCTTACCTCACCACCTCGTCCTCCTCATTTCATCGTCCTTTCGTCCTTGTCCTTCTCATCGCCCTTCTCTTCGTCCTCGTCCTCCTGCGGTCCGTCCTGCTCCCGTTGGGCCACGCGCCTGGCCTTCCATCTGAGACGCTACACGAGGAGTGGGGGACCATTGCCAGTCGTCGGATGTTGATCGAAATGACTTGGACCAGTTCTCGATTCATCGCAATCATGCGCAATAATGACAGACTCCTTCTCCTCCTCCTCCTCCTCCTCCTCCTCCTCTACGCTCCCCCTCCCCTCCCCCTCCTCCTCCTTCTCCTCCTCCTCCTCCTCTTCCTCCTTCTCCCTTTCCTCCCTTCTTGACGTTGCACCAACTGGGCAAGTGAGAGCCGTCGCGTCTTCACCTCCTCCTCCTGCCTCTTCCTCCTTCCCTCCTCCCTGCCTCCTCGGCGGCGGCGGCCTGGGGTCAGTCTCGCTGTGGAGGTAGACGGGGCCGCAGGGCCAACGGGTCCCGAGGTTTTCGCCGTCTGCGGGCTCTCCGGGCCTGCCCTGGGCCCCAGGCAGGGCCGCCTACGGTCGGATTCGATGCGATTCGATTCGCCGGCTGGGGCCGCGATTCCGATTTTATTCGATTCTTGTCGATTCACCAGCATCGGCAAGGGCCAGCCAGAGCCAGGCGGAGCGATCCGATGTCGATTCGGTTCGGGACGATCGGATCAGTTTCCGATCCAATCCGATCTCGCGATTCGACCCAGCTCGGGCCTGCCTCGCCCTGGTTTCCTTCCTGTTGTCGTCAGCCATCGTTGCCGCCAGCGCGCGCGCGCGCGCCCCAGACGACGACCTGCGAGAGGCCGTGCTGCGGCGCAGGGAGTGGGGCGCTCTCCGCGGCGAGGAGGCGCTGCTGCTGGTGCAGGACCTGCGCGCGCCGGGGACTGCCTGGCTTCCTGGACCATCCTGGCCCCCTGTCTGAGCGACGCAGGAAGGGCGGGTTCGGCCGTAGGCTTCTCGTCGTCGTCGTCGTCGTCGTCGTCGTCGTGGTCGTTGTCGTCGTCGTCGTTCAGGGTTGGCGGCACAGGCCGCAAGGCTTCTCAAACAAGGAACGAGGTCCTTTTGTTCCCGCAGGTTAGACTACAATGTCCCATAGAAGGCTCGAGGAAACACCTGAGACAGACCGTAGAAAACAACAAAACACAATGCAGGAGCACTGAGCCCTTCCCCAACGACGAGGGCTCCTTCTTTAGCGGCCCGACGGCATGCCACCAGCCTCACCTGCCAGAGGCCTCCTAGGTGGGGTCGGAGTAGATGGTGTCGGAGGATGGCGCCACATCGCCGACACACCGGCGATGCATCGGCGATGCCTCGGCGACGCATCGGTGATGCACTGGCGATACCTCGTCGGCGTCGGCGATGCATCGGCGACGTCGACGTGCAGCAAAAGGGGCTCCACTTCGAGCCGCATCGGCGACGCATCGGCGATGCGGTGCGATCCTCCGACCCCATTCACGCAGACCCGCTCTAGGAGGCCTAGAGAGGAGGAGGACTAGGATGATTATGATGATCATGATTCTGCTGCTGCTGCTGATGATGCTGATGATGCTGATGATACTGATGATGCTGATGATGATGATGATGCTGATGCTGATGATGACGATGCTGCTGATGCTGCTGATGATGATGACGAGGAGGAGGAGGAGGGGGAGGCTGAGGAGGAATAGGAGGAGGAGGAGGAAGAGGAGGAGGATAAATAATAATAAGATTCATGATAAGACTAATACAACTAATAGTAATCCGATTAATAATAATACGAATTTTAATAGTATCAATGATAAAGACTAAGCCGAACACAAATACTATTATGAATGCTAAGAAGAGCAGCGATACTATACATAAGAATACTACGTCGAAGAAGAAGAAGACGAATGATGGTACTAATAATAAGAAGAATAATATGGACACGATTAGTGTTAATGATACTAATAATAATACGAATAACAATTCTATGAATACTATGAGCAATCAGCGGTTATTGATATAAGTAAGAGAGCACTAGTACTAGTAAGAAGACGATTATTCAAAAGAAAGAGACGAACACTACTACGACGAATGCTAATACAATTATAAGCACTAATAACAAAACGACGACTAACAAGACGAACAATAATAATACCACTAAGAATAATGATACTATTGATCGTACTGATAAGAACAAGGAACATAATAATAGGAGGAGGAGGAGGAGGGGGGGAGGAGGAGCAGGAGGAGGAGGAGGAGGAGGAGGAGGAGGAGGAGGAGGCGGAGGAGGAGGAGGAGGAGGAGGAGGAGGAGGAGGAGGAGGAGAGGAGGAGGAGGAGGAGGAGGGACGAGGGGAGGGGGAGGGGGAGGGAAGGAGGAGGAGGATGAGGAGGAGGAGGAGGAGGAGGAGGAGGAGGAGGAGGAGGAGGAGGAGGAGGAGGAGGAGGAGAGGGAGGAGAGAGGAGGAGGGGGGGAGGAGAAGGAGGAAGAGACGGAGACGGAGGAGAGGAGGAGGAGGAGGAGAGGAGGAGGAGGAGGAGGAGGAGGAAGAGCAGGAGCAGGAGCAGGAGCAGGAGCAGGAGGAGGAGGAGGAGGGGGAGGAGGGGGAGGAGGAGGAGAAGGAGGAGGAGGAGTAGGAGGAGGAGGAGGAGGAGGGGGGGCCACCGAGGGCGTCCGCGGCTCGGTCGGTTCGGCCGCTTCGCAGTCGGTGGCATTCGGTCGGCCCGGCTGGCCAGGCTGTGCCGGGGCTGCGTCGGTGCGCCCTTTGGGCTGCACGCGCCCTGCCAGTTTCGGCCGGTCTCGGTTCCGCTGTCGGTTCGGTCGGTTTCTGGTTGTGCTGTCGCCGTGGACTGCCTTGCACACTCGTTGGCGAAGCACAAGTCCGTATCCGCGGCCTTGCGGGCTGGCCCGCGACCACGCGGCTACATGGCGTTTTTTGGCAGATGCTTCGCGAGGGCCGTATCCGTGCGACCGCGTACCCGCGGGATCGCGCCCCAGAATCCAGACCGCGAGAGCGCGGATGCGGATATGTTCGCCGCTCGCGACACGCTGCGGCGACAGACAGCGGGGCAGAGGCAGCCCTGGGGGACACAGGAGCACTGCAGCCGCTCCGGCTCTCGCCAGACACTGTCCGGCCGCGTGCGTCGCTCGCGCCAGGCCTCGCTCGGGGGGTTGAGCTGCACCTGGCTCCGCCCTGTAGTAGTGGCGGTGCTGCTGCTTTGCTGCCGCGCCCCTGCCGCCTTCAGGGGCAACATCAGGGGGGAGTAGCAGCGGCAACGAACGGCAGGTTCGAGGTCCGAGGTTTTCGGACGATTTCGGCGGCTCCCAGCGGTCTGATGGCCTCGGGATGCTTCTCAGCGGCTGCGCCTCGCCGAGAGCGTTCTGGGGGTGCTAGGATCGTCCAGAACTCAGGAGGGGGAAAACACACAGACGCAAGTAATCGTCGACTCCAAGGAAACTACGGGAAAATATGGGAAGCAGGGGGGAAGACGAAAACCCCGAAACTACAGGAAAATAGGGGGAATCTTTTTATTTGTGTGTATTTGTTTGTGTGTCCCAGGGCCCCTTCAAGAGCGGCCGCCGGGGGCACGAGTTACGACGCCGATCTGTTTGCGACGCGTCGCCGATGCCAGGTTGATGCTGCCCCCGCTGAGCCGCTCCCCCGCGGACGTTGCTCCTCCCCGGAGGTCCGACGCTGCAAGAGCCAGCAAAAACGTCGAGGCGTCGTGAGAAACCACGGCCAGAGCCCCAGGCCCCGTCCTTCCGCGCCAGCTTCGGGGCCGCAGCGGTCTGCGAGGCCCCTGGGGCCCCGCAGCCGTGCGAAAGTGGCCGTTGTGTAGCACCCACCAAACCAACCCCCAACCCAACCCGAAGGCTTCAATCTGCCCTCCATTTCCAGTGGGGGGGGGATCGGGGAACATCGCAAAAACACCTGGTCCCCGTCCCCCCCCAAACCCGAAATTCGGGTCAAATTCGCGAAATTGGCCGTTGTGAAGACACTGCAGCGCCAGGACGGCAGGGCCACGGCTCCGCCTCCGCCGCGCCTCATGGCTCCATGGCGAAGCGCGCCCTCGCGGAAGAGCAGCCTGCGCCGGACGCGCCGCTGCCGGCGGCGTGGCAGGCGTGGGTCGCGAGCCTGCGTGCGCTGCTGGCCGACGCCGTGCTCCCGCTGTTCCTGCTCCACTGCAAGCGAGGCCAGCCGCGGGTGCCGGTCCCAGATGGGGGCCAAACGCGTTCTTCGGATGCAGCTCCTTGGATGTCAAACTCTGATTTCGCCCTGGTCCGAAATCCGGTTTAATCTGGCTTAAGCCCGCTTGATTCCGCTCAATCCAGCGTAGTCCCGCCTAATCCGGCTTAGTCCCGCTTAATGTGAGGCCCAATCTGGCGTAACAGCGCCCCATTGGGGCCCAATCTTTTTGAATCCTTCCGACGAAGACCTCCCAGTAGTTGCCTCCTAGGTGTTCAGAGCATAGCTTCGAAGAAGAAAAACGCAACAAACAGAAACTTTTGGCGCTCCGCGCGGGTTTTTCGGATCCGCGCTGGGCCCCCCCCCTCCGGTGGCGCCCCCGGCGGTGCCCCTGGCGCGCTCCGCGCACCAGGGAGGGGGGTCCAGCGCAGATCCAAGAAGTCCGCGCGGATCCGAGGCCCAAAAGTTTATGTTTGTGGCGTTCTCTCTTCTTTGTAAATATGGTGGGATGGCAGAGGCCCCGAACCTGGAAACCTCCAGGGGTTTGAGGCGGCCCAGCATGCTGGTTCCGGCAGCAAGAGAGGCAGACAGGCTCGAGGTAGTTGCAGGTCTTTCGCAGCCCTCGGCCTCCCGGGGGCGGCTCCGGGCCCCGGGACCGGGGCCCCGGGACCGTGAGCAGACACGGCTCCGGGGGTGGAAGACGGCACCGGCTGGACTCCAGGAGGGGTCCAGGGACGACCTTGAGCGCAAATTGACCTGGCAGTCGTCCGGGCCTGCGTTTCCCATACTTGAAGATTATGGGAAGCGCAGTTCCAGCCCATGGAGTGCGGTTTTTCAAAAGGGACATTGCTTCCCCCCCCCCCCTCCCGACGGACGTTCTCGGACCCCGACCAGTGCAGACCCCCCCCGGCCGCCTCCCATCTCCGAGCATCGTTGGCGCGGTGGCAGCGGCCCCAGAGAGGCTCTGTACCAGTGCCCGCTCTGTCTCACAGCATTCGAACTCCCAAAGCGCAATCACACTCCCGATGTCGGTCCTACAGCTGGGGCGCTGCAGAAGGAACCCTTTTCGTTGGGGAGGGGCTCGGTGTTCCTTGATTGCTTCACAGTTTGCCTTGGGAAATCGAAGTTGAACTTATGGGAAAAGGGGGCCTCGTTCCTTATTTAGGGTTCCTTAGGTCAAGGCCAAATCAAAGGAATCCAACACGTACCAAGACAGTGCACATCAAAGCATAATCAGTGCAATGCAGTTCAACGCAAGCCAAAGGGAGCAAACCATGCCGGGCAACGAGATGTGCCGCGCTGCAAAGCAACTCAACTCTGCTCAAATCAACGCAAGCCAAAGCAAACCCACACCCCAAATCTGGTTTGTTTTGCTTTGTCCCAGGCTTCAGCTTATCGGTAGTACGATCGCCAATGTGTATCCAGCTTGTCTTTCATCGAAATACGGTCTATTGAAATCGCGCCAGGGGCATTTTCATTCAAGACGCTTCGCGTTCACCGCCCGCCAGGGTCGAGGAGGACGAGGAGGCGAAGGAGGAGGAGGAGGATGAGGAGGGGGAGGGTGAGGAGGCTGAGGGAGGAGAAGGAAGGAGGAGAATGGAGGAACATGGGGGAGAACAGAGGAGGAGCAGGAGCAATGTTGGCCCCTATACTGGCCAAGCGTGAGTCCAGACTCTGTTCCCCTCCCCCTCCTCTTCCTCCTCGTCTTCGACGGGGCGTCGTCGTCGTCGTCGTCGTCGTCGTCGTCGTCGTCGTCGTTTCGACAGATTCAGGGGATCTTCTTGACCGTCAGCGTTGCGTCGTTTCGATTGTCGTCTACCCCCTGAGATTTCCCGATCGTCGGGAGGAGCCGGACCCCATGGAATTCCTGGACTCGCTGCGCCATTGGGGGAATCTTGCAGACCCCGCTTCCGTCCCCAAATCTTTGCTCGCGTCCCTGTCCGTAGCATTTTGGCACAGGCCTTTATGTTTCAAATTGATATTGGAGCCCGGCGTTGAGCAAGCGGCGCGCAAAGTGTGGCAGCCGTCCATGTTTGCTCTAGCTCGCCAGGCTTGGGCATTTGAGCTGCATTGCAGCCCTAACGTAACCTACCTTGCCAATGTCAGGAAGGGACAGAGTGGCAGGAGGGTCACGTGAGGTAGAAGCGAAGTACACCAGAGGAGAATGATGATGATGAGGAGGAGGAGGAGGCAGAGGAGGGGAAGGAGGAGGAGGAGGAGGAGGAGGAGGAGGAGGAGGAGGAGGAGCCCAACAGCCCGCCGAGAAGGTCTCCTCCGTCTCGGCCTTCCTGCACGCGGCGGGGGGGACGCCCCTGCCTGGCGGCGCCGCGCCCGGGGCGCTGCGGCTGCTCGCGGAGGTCTGCCCGGAGGTCGTCGTCGTGCATCCGGCCAGCACGGCGGAGCCCAGCGGCGTGGTGATCGGGCGGGGGAGCTCCTCCTCGTCCTCCTCCTCCTCCTCCTCCTCCTCCTCCTCCTCATGATTCTCATCATCATTGCCATGATCATCATAACCATCAGCATCGTTATCAACACAGTCACAATCACCATCGCTACCACCAACACCATCACCATCCCCCCCCTCCTCTCCTCTCCCCTCCTCGCCTCTCATCCCGAATTATCTGATCTCATTTCGGCTCATTCCATATAATCATATATCATCTCGCTTTCATCTCATCTAATCTCACCCCATCTCATCTCCTATTATATCACCGTATCGCATCGCTTCTCATCTCATCTCATCTCCTCTCATCTCGTCTCGTCTCGTCTCGTCTCGTGTGGTCTCGTCCTATCTCATGTCATCTCATCGCATTTCATATCTCCTCATGCCATCTCATTTCTTATCATCTCATCTTGTTTCGTCTCGTCTCGTCTCGTCACGTTTCATTGCAGTCCATCTCATCGCATCTCATGTCATCGTGCCTGTTTCCATTTCAGCCCATTTGGCATCAGCTCATCAGATTCCATCTCATTTCATTTCATATTCATCTCATCTTATCTACCGTCATATTTGATCGTAGCATCTCATGTCGTATCATCTCTTCTCGTTTTGTTTCGTTTCGTCTCGTCTGGTCTCGTTGCGCCTCGTGCTGTCTCATTGCCTGTCATCTCATCCCATGTCATCTCATCTCATCTCGTCTCACCTTTCCCCATCCGGTATGATCTCATTAGATGCCGTATAATACCATTTCCTCTCATTACATCTCATCTCATCTCTTCCAATTTTAGATCGCCTCATCTTATACCATCCATCTCGTCTCATCTCAAGCCACCTCATCTCGTATCATCTGATACGACCTCATCGCATGCCATTTCATGCCACCTCATACCAGATCATATCATCTTATCAAATGATACACCCTATCATGTCCTCTCATCTCATCTCATCTCATCTCATCTCATCTCATCGCATATCATCTCATCTCATTTCATCTCATCTCATCTCATCTCATCTCATCTCATCTCATCTTGTCTGAGTCCATCCCCTCTTGTCTTATCCCGTCGCACCATACTTCGTTGCAACGCACCCGATCTCATAGTATTTCACATCAGCTTATCGCATATCATCTCACCTCATCTCTCCCTTTACCAACTCATATCAATCCTTGACGCTTCGCGTATCCCCACCAGATCATGTGCACATTCGCTTTCTTGCGGATTTTTACTGCAGGTGCATTGCAAGTTGTAGCTAATTCGCCTCGCCTGCTGGCCCAGACGACGCCTACCGCTCCCTGTCCGCCGCCTCGGAGCCGCCGACCAAAAAAGTATCCCCACCAGCCCATCCAGAAACGATCCGCAGGGGGATTGGTGAATCAGAGGCAGCGTGGAGGTGGTGATTGGCTGTGGTTGTCCTCCATACACATGGTGATTGGCTTCGTCAAGTGTGCGACCCCGCATCGAGTGGTTCAGCCTTCTGCGGTCCAAGTTCGTGTCGCACTTCTCGGCGCAGCCGTAGAGCAGCCCCGGCTACCAGCCTCGTCAGTACTTTGCATCGTTGTGCCCCCGAACTGCGTGAGTCGGAAACGATGTGCATGCACTGGCTACCGGCTGGAGGTGGCTCAGCCTCGTGAGCGCACACCAGTGGCCTTCTCTACTGGATGGCGCTCTGACGCGGATCAGCCACACCTTTGCAAGTGTGCGGCCTTGCAGTGAGTGGTTCAGCCTTCTGCAGTGCGTGGTCGCCTCTTCAGAGCTGCCCCGGCCACCAGCCCTCGTCAGTACTTTGCATCGTTCTGCCCCCGAACTGCGCGAGTCGGAGACAATGTGCGCACACCGGCTACCGGCTGGAGGTCTGGATCGGGCGCGGCCGTCAGCCATACATTCGGTAACACCCGTTGTTTGGCTTCGTCAGGGAGCGGCCCTGCATTGAGTGGTTCAGCCTTCTGCAGTTCGTGGTCGTTCCCCCAGCAGAGCAGTCTGCAACCAGCCCCCGTCAGTACTTTGCATCGTTTCGACCCCGATCTGCGAGAGTCGGATACGATGTGCACGCACTGGCTTTGGCCAGAGGTGGCTCAGCCTCGTGAACGCTCACCAGTGGTCTTCCTCTACTGCATGGCGCTTCGACGCGGACCAGCTACACCTCAGATTCAGTGAGCCTTGATGAGTCAGGCCTCGTTCGCCGCATTATCGTTGACTCGTGGTGCTGCATTGAGCCTGTGGTAGTCGCTCGCTTTCGCTCTCTCCCCCTCCCCCCTTCCGTTCTTTCCCCCCCCCGCCTCCTGGCCTCACCGACTGTGGTTCGGCTGGAGTTTGGCGCCGAAAGGGCGACTTCTCCCCCCCGTTCCGCTGCTGGTCGCCGCGCCTGCGTCCCCACCTGCCGTGATGTCTGGGCCGGTCTCCTGCCGACGCAGTATGCGTTTTAATGAGGGTCATTTTGTCCCTGGCACGTGCAGTCGCCCCTGAGGCCAATTTACATCGTCACGCGCCCTGGACGTTGTGCTCGCGCCCTGTCCCTCGCCTTGGAGCCGCGAACCAAAAAGTATCCCCACCAGATCATGTGCACATTCGCTTTCCTGCGGATTTTGGCTGCAGGTGCATTGCCTGTTGTAGCTAATTCGCCTCGCCTGCTGGCCCAGACGACGCCTACCGCTCCCTGTCCGCCGCCTCGGAGCCGCCGACCAAAAAAGTATCCCCACCAGCCCATCCAGAAACGATCCGCAGGGGAATTGGTGAATCAGAGGCGGCAGGACGCATGCAGTCGCGCAGCCTTCTTCGGAAAAAAGGATCACAAAGAGCTTCCCGCATTGGAGTTTAAGATGGAAATCAGTGCAAACTGCGATGGTATTTCGATGAAGGGTGAGTCGTCTTTCGATGATTCGTAATGGCTGTTGCACTGGTTTGTATCTTAAACTCGTGTGTGTTTCGAAACTTGGAGGCATCTTGGGGCTGTCTTGGGATTCTCTTGGGCCCCTCTTGGGGCCTCCTGGTGCTCTTTCTTGGGGCGCTCTTGAAGTCATCTTAGGGCCTTCTTGGGTCTTCTTGAGACTCTTTTGGGGCGTTTTGGGGCTCTTTTGGGGGGTCTGGGGGCCTTCTTGGGGCTTTTTGGGGTGCCTGAGGGGCCTCTTGGGGCCGTCTTCGACCCTTTCGCTAAAAAAGAGAGGGGGTTCCAATTCCCATCGCCTTCTCGGAGGCTCAACGCTGCTGTCTTGGGGCCCTCTTGGCCCGCTCTTGGGGCGCTCTTGGGCGCTCTTGGGGCCGACATGGGGCCCTCTTGGCCCCCTTGGGGCCATCTTGAGGCTTCAAGAGCTCATCGGAGGCGAAAGAAGCGAGATGGATTTTGGCCACTTGGGGGGGGGTCCTTGGAGGCCTCGGAGGGTACTTGAAACCGTCTTGGGGCCGTCTTGAGACCTCTTGGACGTGTGTCGGAGGCTATCTTGACCCATCTCCCGTTATCTTCGTCCATCTTGGACGCCATCTTGCGCTCTCCGAGGCCCACTTGGAGCCATCTTGGGCCCCAAAGGACCCTCTAACCCCTCGCGGGGTCCAAACGGATGGAAGGGGGGGGGGGGGTAAAACTCCCGAGCAGGGAAAGGAAGGAGGTCGGGAAAGGAAACGCCCTAGACCACCTGCGCCCGGAGGGCTGGTGGGACTCGTCCCATCTCGTCTCATATCATCCCATTTCATTTCGTCCATGACATATCGTCCCAATCCGTCTCATCTCATCTTATCTCATCCCGGCCCAGCCCATCTCATCTCACTTTATTTGAACCCATCCCCTCTCGTCATAACCCGTCGCACCACACCTCATTGCATCGCACCCGATCTCATATTATCTCGCACTCTCTCATCTCATGCCATCTCTTTTCATCTCTCCATTTACCAACTCATATCAACTCATCCCATCTCGTCTCATCTCATGTTTCATTTCATCTCATATCATATCATCCCAACTCGTCACATCTTGTATACTCCCATCCCGTCCCAGCCCAGCCCATCTCATCTCATTTTCATCGCATCCGATCCCAGCTAATCTCATCGCATACCATCCGACGTCACATGGTCCCATACCATATCGTCCCAAGTCGTCTTATCTCATCTCACCCCATCTCACCCCATCTCACCCCATCTCATCCCACTTGATATCATCCCACCCCGTTCCATCTCATCTCATACCAAGTCATCCCAACTCGTTTCATTTCATCTCATATCATCCCACCCCATCCCATCTCATTACATATCGTCTCATATCATATAATCTCATGTCGTCTCGTCTCGTCTCATCTCATGCAATTGCATATCATGTCATCTTACCTCATGCCATCGCATCTCTCATCAGCCCATCGCATATTATCTCACCTCTCGTCATCTCATCTCATCTCGTCTCATCTCATTTCGTTTCTTACCACCTCATCCCATCTCATCCCATCCCGTCCCATATCGTCCCATTTTCCATTGGACTTCCTCGCATCGTATCCCGTTCCATGTCCTTATCGCCTCATCTCCTCCTGGAAGGGCGGAGTGTGCGAGAGGGAGGGGGATACGGGGAGGAGGAGGAAGAGGAGTTACAGAGTACGGGTATGGCGGCTAGGTCGGTTACGATGGGGAAACCGCTTAAACTGGCTTCTTCAAAGCCCTTCTGGCCTGCTCTCGCTTGCAATAGGCCTTCGGCCATAGCCCCAGGAGGATATTCTTCCGATACTTGATTCGATTACCGTCGAGACGGTGGCTACAATCTGCGCTAAACTTTGCTGGCTGTTCGGCTGCAAATCACCCGCATACATTACAGAACCACGGCCCCAGCCCCGTGTGATACCTTAAAATGTGTGTGCTATGAGCGTACCCCCCGATATGTGCACCCGTTGCCCAGGAAGGCGTCTACTTATAACGCCGTCCACATCAATTCAGTCGAAACATGGACTATTAAGCCATTCAAGTTTGCAAGCTATAGCTGTCGACCCCTGGCACCGCGTCCAACTGCGACCATTGTCGCCGAGGCGATGCGACAGGAGGATGAGGAGGAGGAGGAGGAGAAGGAGGAGGAGGGGGAGGGGGAGGAGGAGGCAGGAGGACCATGAGGAGGCAGGAAGAGGGAGTCCGAGCGGATTGGGCAGTGCTGATCTGATGATGATGATTATATGATGATGTGATGATGATGATGATGATGCTGAGATGATGATGATGCTGATATGATGATGATGATATGAGATGATGATGATGAATGATGATGATGATGAATGATGATATGATGAATGATGATGATGATGATGATGATGAGGAGGAGGCAGGAGGAGGAGGAGGAGGAAGGAGGAGGAGGAGGGGAGAGGGAGTAGTGGAGTCTAGAGGAGGGATGGGGGGAGGCAGAGGATGGATTGGAGGAGGAGAAACGGGAGGGAATGCGAACGAGACCGGGAGGAGCAGAGGCCGCACGTTTTCGCCGTTGCCCCCCCCCCCCCCCGTGCCGCTTCCGAGGCGATCCGCCTCGGCCCCGCCGCGGCGAGCAGCATGACCATCCCCGAGGACGGCGGCCCGCACGAGCGAGAGGGCTGCGACGCGAGGGGGGAGGGGGCTGCCCTCTCCTCCTCCCCCCCCTCCTCCTCCTCCTCCTCCCCCTCCTCCTCCTCCTCTCCTCCTCCTCCTCCTCCTCCCTCCTCATCCCTCCTCTTCCCCCCCTCATCCTCCGTCCTCTCCTCCTCCTCCTCCTTCCTCCTCCTCCTCCTCCTCTCCTCCTCCTCCTCCTCCTCCTCCTCCTCCTCCTCTTACTCCCCCCTCCTCCTCCTCCTCCTCTCCTCCTCTTCTCCTCCTCCCCCCCCTTTGAGCTCCAATCCGTCGTTTCTCCCCCGTCGCCTTCCCCGCCGTCCGTCCCTCCCTCGAGCCGCGCATCTCCTCGACCGACCGTCGGCCGTGCTGCCCGCGCCCACCTCCTCTCGCGGCCCCGTCGGCGCCGCCGTCCAGCGCGTGCCGCGACTTCGGCATGCTGGCAGCAGGCGGGCCCGCCAAATTCCCCGCCGTTGCCCCGCGCATCCGCCCCTCTTTTCCTACGGTAGGTTTGCGTCGTGTCGACCAGCGGCGACCCCAGCGCGGGCGTTCAAGGTTGAACGCCGCCGG